GCTGCTTCACGCAGGCGCTCGCCTTGCTCCCCCCGATGCCCAAGGACGGCAGCGCCGCCAAACAGCAGCAGCTCGGGCAGAAGGCCTTCCGCACCGTCATCCCTCTCTCCGAGTCCAGCGGTACCCACCCTTCTCTGTCCCTTCGGATTGGCTGGTGACTTGACTGCCGTGCAAACGCTCACCACCGGCTTCGTCGTGGTGGAGCGGCCGCAGACGGGTTCACGGACGCGGAGAAGACGGCTACGGTGTTGGCCAACCGCGCGCGGGTGCTGATGCGGCTGCGCAAGTGGTCGGATGCCGTGCGAGACCTTAAGGAGGCGGGGGTGGGAGCCGCCTCGCCGAACGGACAGCGCGACGTGGCGCTCGCGTGGGACCTCGGCCGGGCGCTCTTCCTCGGCGGCCAGCTCGAGGAGAGCGTGCAGGCGCATCGCCAGCTGTTGGCCCAGCTCGAGAAGGCCAACGCGGGCGCCGATCCGGCCTCTCCGCTGCAGCGGGCCGAGAAGGAGACGCTCCTCCTCCTGGCCCAGCTGGCCTACCACCAAGGCGACGTCACCCAGGCCAAGAAATACGTCATGCAGTGGTACGATTCATCACACACACGACACACACAACACGCACGACACACACACGACACACCGACTCACCGGGCGAGTTGTATGCAGCGTGAAGAAGGACGGCAGCTACCTGGGCGGCTGGCAGATGATGAGCGGCCTGGGCCTGCTCATCGAGGACTACACCGTGGCGCAGACCGCGCTCCAGCAGATCCAGAAGCTGAGCAAGACGCCGTCAGCTCATCTCTACGCCATGCAAGCCGTTCTCTCGCTGATGCAGGTACACTGCACACGTCCTCTACTCGCACCTCGAAGGCATTATGAACGTTTGGGTCTCACACACGTTGCCACGTGTGTGTCGCGTGTCTGGCGCGCACCCGCCAGAACAAGAGCGAAGAGGCCAAGCGACAGGTGAGCAAGGCGTACCATCTGTTCCCCGACAAGGAGGAGTCGTGGGACTCTCTGGCATGGCTGGTACGCCCCCAAACCGAGGCGGCCAACCGTGCGCGCAGAACCGCTCACCACCGAGCTCCTCGTCGCTGTGTTTCGCAAAACAGGTCATGGACTATTTCCAGAGCGGAGACGCCCTGCGCACCCTCTGCCTCAACTCTTCCCACCTCACCTTCCCGCAGCTCCAGGTCGGCTACGCCTCCCCTTGAGGGACCCTCGCGGTCGTTGTCTCGCGCTGACTGGTGTCTTATCATCTCCCTGACCCGTTGGTTGCGTGCATGCAGGACTACGTTGCGAGGCATCGGCTCATCTCGGAGGCCCTCCTGCAGTTCGGCCGGAACGTCCCGGCGGCCCAGGACGACACTGCAAGTAACGCGGTGCCTCGGGCTCGGTGGGACGGTGGCCTCAAGGTACTACTCCATCATCTCCACATCGAGCAGCAGCAGCAATTGACACCGTCCATTTCCAGGCGGTGCTGAGCCATGTGACGAAGATGATCCACGTCGACCCGCTCGGCAAGCACTCCTGGTTCCTGTTCGCCGCGGCCTCGTACTCGCAGTGCCTCATCTCGGCGGCGCCCGCCGTCCAGGCCCGCTCCACCGACTCTGTGCTGCGCCACGTGCTCGGCTTGCACGCGGAGGAGAAGGCCCGGTTGGCGCAGGCGCTCGAGCTCCTCCACAAGACGCACAAGGACGCGGCCAAGGCCCAGCATCCCGGCAAGGAGCGGTACGACGAGGCCGGCCTCGTCCGCGAGATGCGGGACGTCGAAGCGAAGCTGTTCTTCCTGCGCCTGGCGATCAGCGATTGCTGTCTGCTTCAGGACGGCGAGCAGCGCGTCGCCGAGGCCTTGCAGCTGGCCAACGAGGCATCGGCCTCCTTCACCGGTACGTGTGCGCTGTACCGTGTGGTGCGGTGGTGTGCGTGTGTGTGTGCGTGCGTGCGTGCGTGCGGAGGTGCGTGTGCATGTCGGGCTGACTCCTTTGTTTTTGAATGTTGAAGGGGAGGGCGAGGGCAAAAAGAAGGCCGACGCCTTCTGCCACCGACAGCTGGCGCGCTGCCACCTGGCCCAGAAGAAGGTCGACCTGGCCATCAGGGAGTACAAGGAGGCCATCAAAATCCAAGGTGCGCGCCAACGGCTCCATAAAAGAGACTGCATTCCAAGGATGGTATGGAATGTTAACATGTTGGGGGCCACAGGCGATCGCGTTCCGCTGTTGTGGTTCGAGCTGGCGGAGCTGTACCAGCAGGAAGACCAGGCCGACGCCGCAGCGTTCAGCTACAGGCGGGTCATCGAGACCTTTGCCGGCGACAAGCCGCAGCACAAGAGCACGCGGCGCGTGGCCCTGCTCAAGCTGGCCCGCCTCTACATCTCGCTCGAGAGGTGGGGCGACGCCCAGTCCACCCTCGCCCAAGTGATCAAGCTCAGCCCCGTACGCCCGGCTCCAGCTCAGCCTTGCTCTTCTGTCCATCAGCTCACAGCGGCCGCACACGCACACACCACCGCACACACGCACGCGCACAGGACAACCCGGTGGCTCTGTTCATGCAGGGCGTGGTGAGCGCGCACAACAAGGAGTACAACAAGGCGCGGGCCTTGCTGCTCAACGCCCAGCGGCGGGAGGAGCGCAAGACCGGCGCCCCGCTGCCCCTCACGCACCTCCACCTCTCGCAGCTCTGCGAGCAGATCACCAACAAGGACCTGCCCGCCGCCCAGGCCCACGCCCAGCTCGAGCTCGCCCTCCTCCAGGGCGCCTCCGCCTCCTCCTCCGTCGCCGTGCCGCCGTCCGTCTTCGACAAGGTCCAGGCCAGGATCGACAAGCTCGCCCCTGCGCGGGAGTGAGTTCTCTGCGCGCTGGCGCTCTACGCACAGTAATGCATTTTACATGTATGCTACATTGTGCCCCTAGGGGCGCAGGCGGGCCTCAGAACTCGACAACGACCTGGTTGTCGTGAGCGAGTTCGCGCCAGTCTTGGTTGGATCGGTAGATGCCGAGCTTCTTCATAGGCGGGTGTTCGATCAGCATCCGCACGACCTGCGGCCCCTGGTTGTGCTCGAATCCGCTCAGACACGCCAGGTTGAGCTCCTCGAGGCGCGGGCACCCGGCCAGGAGCCCACTCCAGGCCGCCAGCTGCACCCCACCGTTTGGAGCGATCCGCGAGCGGTGGGCCAGGTCGAGCCGACGCAGTTTGGGCAGCCGGGCCGCGATGATATCCACCATGAGCGGCGAGCTGTCACTCCAGCTACGCAGCGACAGCTCCTCGAGCAATGGGAGGCGGGCCAGTACTAACTCAATTTCCTGCTTGTAGGCGCTGATGGTGAGGCTCACACAGATGGTGGTGGAGGGTGGTGGTGCATAATGTGGCGGTACCTGGCCGCAGTAGCGAGCGTGAGCGAGGTCGAGGGCGACCAGGCCGGTCCAGCACTCGGCCTGCAGCGCGTTGGCCAGGGCCGCCATGGGCTCCACCTGCCACCGGTTCGAGGCGAGCGACAGCTTCTGCAGGCCGGGAACGCCCATCGCTAGTTCCAGCGCCCCCTCTTCGTTCACCGCTGAAACCCAGAACAGAAAAGAAGATCAGAGCGATCAGAGTGGTGTGCGGGCAGAGGGGGGGGGGTTAGGGTGAGTGTACTCCCGTGACACTCGCCAACGTCCAATTCAACGAGCGAGGTGCAGCTGGCCAGCGCGTAGACCGACCGGTTGGTCAGCGTGCAGCCCTGCGTGGGGTCCCCACCCACCCACCCACGCACCACCGAGTTTGGATGAATGTCAGCGCTTGGGATCCCCCACTCCACGCGCTGGAGAGCCAACTGAGAGGTGCGTACACGAAGAGTGAGCTTAGTCAGCGACGTGCCACACTTTGACGCCACGAGCTCCACCGTCGCGTCCGTGATCTTGGTGCACCTGCAAAAAGGGAAGCGTTCACATGGTGCCCTTCTCGGGCGGGAGGCCCACGAACCAGTCGAGGCTCAACTCCTGGAGGACGATGTGGCCCGAGACGGTGGCGTAGCGCAGGACCGGGGCCGCGCACCGGCCGTGTTGGGCGTCTTCCTGCGCCAGAACCAGGTCGAATATGATGGCCAGGAGCTCAAAGGGGAGGCACGCCACGGGGTCGCGGGCGTTGGTCTCGTTGTGGGCGGCATTGGCCGCCGCACGCGCCCGGTCTGCCGGTGTGTCCTTCACCACCTGCCGGTTGCACTTCCTCGTCTCTTGCGCCGGCGGCGAGTCGGCGGGCTTCTCCCGCTTCCCACCACCTGCCCTGCTAAGGTTGGCGCCCATCACCCGACTATCTGTCGTTGTTTTGCGCTCTTCACTTTTTTCACCGGTGCCTGTCGCTTTCGGCTGAAAGAGAAGAGAAGAAAAAGAAAAAGAAAAAGAAACAGGAACGAAAATGCATTTTAAGTTGGTGTGCTGTGAGGGTATGCTGCACATCAATAATATCAACTGCATTAGGGGCACACCCTCATGCCTTCTCTTGTTGCTGCAGCTGCTGCTGCTCCTGCTTGAGCTGTTCCATCTGTTCGCGTCGAAACGTGGCCATGAGCGTCCCATCAGCATCCCTGAGGTTGCGTTTTGGCTCCCAACTGTTCTCCTCCTCAGGATAGCCTGCATGTGTCGTGTCGTGTCGTGTCGTGTCGTGTCGTGTCGTGTCGTGTCGTGTCGTGTCGTGTCGTGTCGTGTCGTGTCGTGGTCTGTTGGCTACGGCGAATTGATTGCAATGCGTCGGTGGGAGAAATGGGAAGGCATCGTACCGAGCCACTTCAGCAAGTATTCAATCCGCCCGTACCGCTTCCTTTCGGCCACGATCCGCTCCACCTTGTAGACGAACTCTTCTTCCACCTCTTCTTCCTCCTTCTCCTTTTTCTTTTTCTTCGTCTTTGTCTCCTTCTTTTTGCCTTCATCATCATCATCCTTCTTCTTCTTGGTGCTCCTCTTGGTGCTCTTCTTGCTCTGCTCTTTCTTCTTCTTTTCCGCAGGCACGCTCTTCCTCCTCGACGTCTCCCTCTCCCTCTCCCTCTCCTTCTCTCTGTCGGCACCGCCCGCGCTGGCCGGCGTCGATTTCCGTCGTTTCACCTGCCGCGTCGGGCCGCGTCGACGTGGCGGAGTCGGGCCGTCGCCAGCCGACTGCTCCTCCTCCTGCTGCTGCTGCTGCTCTTCATCGCGCGAGGCACTGTTGGGCTCCTCGCCTGCGACCACCTCCTTCGCCTTGGCTTCGGCCTTGGCCTCCTCTTTCGTCCCTTCTTCCTCTCCCGCTCCGCCCAACACGCGTTCGGACGACTCGGCGACCACTTCCTGCTCCCCATGACCGGCGTCATCAGCGCTGGCGTCGCTGGCGGTGGTGTCGTTACTGTGCGTTTTCCTTCTCTTGGGTCGATCGATGGGCGCGCGAGTCGACTTGGCGGGCGAAGTCTTCTCCTCGCTCTCCCTTTCTCTCTTCTTTTGCTTCTTCTTCTCCACCTCCTTCAGCGCTTCTTCGGCCAACCGCTGTTCTTCCTCCCCTTCCTCTTCGTCCATGTCGCGTCGCTCCGTTTCCAGCCTTTCCTCGTTCACCCTCTCCTGCTCCCTGGCTCGCTCTTCTTCCTCCATCATCCGCTCCTTCTCCAGTCGCGCTGCTTCTTGACGCTCCGTCCTGGCGAGCTCCCGCTCCCTCTGCTCCCTCTGCTCCCTTTCTAGCCGCTCCCGCTCGAGTCGCTCCTGTGCGAGCCGTTCGGCTTCATGCCGCTCCGCTGCGAGTCGCTCCCGTTCAAGCCGCTCTTGTTCGCGTCGCTCCCTTTCGCGGACCTCGGCTTCGTGGCGCTGTTTCGCGAGTCGCTTCTTTTCCCGCCTTTCGGCCCTCGCTCTCCTCTTCCTCTCGCGCGACTGCTTTACCTTCTCCTGCCTCGCCCGCTCCGCCTCGGCCTCCTCGGCGGCGATCCGCGCGCGCTTGGCCAAGCGCTCCCGCTCCAGCTTCTCCTCCAACTCTCGGCTGGCGGCTTCGTTGATGCGCCGGCGCACCTCGGCCCGGTAGCGCACCATCTCCATCACGAACTCGAGGTCATCCACGGTCGGCCCGCCCGGGGGGAACATTGTCATCGCCTTGTCGATCGCCGCGTCGTACCTGGCACCGCATCGTGAGCGCTCACAAAAGCCAAAAGCGAAGCTGGAACGCAAAAGAAAAGAGGGAGAGGGAGGAGCGGGCGGCGTACTGCGCGACGTCGTTGCCGTTGGCTCTGCGCTGTTCGGAGCGTTCGATGCATCTCATCTGGTTCTTCCTCTCTATCTCACACAGCTGGCGATAAAGCTCCTTACGGGCCGCGAGCTCCTTTCTCGCCTTCTCGATCTCCTTTTCGTAATCGATTTCACCGTCGCTCTCGTCGTCGGATCCCTCCTCCTCATCATCATCTTCTTCTCCTTCTCCTTCTTCTCCTTCATCTCCTTCTTGTTCCTTCGGACCGCACCGCCGATTGCGCGACTTGCGGCTGCTGTAGTCGTCCTTGCTTTCATACTCTGCAATGAGTGCGTCCAGGTCAAGCTGCAACTCCGCGGCGGCCTCGCCCTTTTCGTCCCCGCCGCCCACCACCTCCACGGCGGCGTAGCTGGCCTTGCGCCTGCTGTCCTCCTTCTCACCGTGCTGCGGCGGCAGCGCAGATTCTGTGTAGCCGTGCGGTGGTGCGCGTGCGGTGGTGCGTGCGCGTTCTATCAGCAACACCACTCACCCGCCCACAAGGAGAGGAAGAGATTGGTCGTAACTATTAACGTGGTAGAGGTAGTACGGCACGCTTTCTTTCGTCCAGCTCACCGCCTCCGCTGGCGAATCGATTCTACATTGGTGCCAAGTCAAGTCAAGTCAAGTCAAAACGCACACTCAGCACGTGGCACAAGAGAGAGGAAGTGTGAAACCCACCTTTGGCACGGACCCAAGGTCTTTGAATAGCCCAACTCCCTGCGACACAGCACACGCCGATGAGCTTGGCTCATCAACATCAAATCGCGGCTCAGAGTCTTGGGCGGAGGAAGCGCACTGGAGGGAGACGACGCGAGTGGGACCGTGCTGAAGGTTGAAGACGAGCACGCGGCGGACCCGTTGGTTGTGCACCGGACTGAGCGTCAGGTTGTTGACGAAGACGACCGTCGCTTCGCTGGCAACAATGAAGAGAAGAGCAAGAAGATAGAGAGGATGAGGAGCATGCTCTATGTGCAGTCGAACACGCTCTCTTGCGGGGGAGAAAAGAGAAGTGCCTACCCGAGGCCAGCCGGCACCAAGTTCGAGTACGTCGACGCACAAGAACTCTGCCCGGCCTTGCTTGTACCGCTTGCCTTCCGCCACCTTCGAAGGGAGGCGTGTCTCTCTCACCCGTTAGAGCGTGTAGAGCGGTCGACCGTGGAGAGCTGTGTACCTTGGCGTTGAAGGCCTGCTGGAGAGCGACGGCCGTGTTGTGCTCATCTTTGTTACCTTCCACACCCACCACGCGGCACCCTGTCTGGGCCGCCACCTGCAAGGCCACCTGCAGCCCAAACAAATAATATATAATTTAATCTCCAGATAGATATAAATTTATAAATTAAAAGATCGAAATCATATAATCTGAATTATTCGTTTAATTGGTGTTGGAGGCGGGGGGCGTACTGCGCCAGTGCCTGAGCCGAGGACGTAGAAGACATCCTCGGGCTGGAGGGCGAGACGCTTGATGAGATCGTCAACAAATCGCAGCCCGACAGAGTGCGAGGACTGACCCAGGCAGATGTGGCTGCACATGTCGTGCCACAAGTCGGTAAAGGCCGTCGTGTCCATCCACCCCTTCGTCACTGCTGCTGCTGGTGCTCCAGGGATGGTCGTCTGGACCAGCCTGCTGAGCGCTTTCAGAGAGGGCGAGGGCGACGAAGATAAGGAATTCGCTGCATCGTTTAAGCCCCTCCCTGGATGCCTTCGCGTGATCCCACGACGCTTCATCTCTTCCCCATCGATTCTTATTGATGGCGTTCGCTATCTGCCGGTCGTCTTTTGGCGCCAAAATTTCGGCGAGTGCGCGCTGTCAGCGCGGAGAGCGCGTGTGGTGGTTCTTCACGTATGGTGATGGTAATGATGACAGTATGGGTGGGTTCTTCGTTTAAGGCAGATCTCTCTGAAGGTGTTTCAGTTGTCATCGCCGGAGCGGGTGGAGGAAGAAGAGCGCCGCTCGCGTATCCTGCGCTGGAGTTCCTCCTTTCGCTTCTGCTCGTCCTCGCGCCACTGATCCCACCCGCGCAGGCGATCCAGCTCCCTCTGACGCCTCGACTTCTTCTGCGGCCGCTTCTCTTCCTCCGCCTCTTTCTTTTCTTCCTCTTCCTCTTTCTCTTTCTCTTCCTCTTCCTCTTTCTCTTCCTCTCCGTCGCTGATGTTGATTACATTCTTGTCCGTTTCTCGTGATGATGATGATGATGATGAGGACCCTCGTCCAGGATTGCTCACCCGACGTCGGATGTTGGCGCGATCGCAGCGATCCTCCCGTGTGTCCGACGCCTCCCTGCTGCGCTCTTCCTGCGCCTCCTTGGCCTCCACCTCGCGCTGCATGTCCTGCTTCCGCTTTCTCTCGAGCGCGGCAGGCGCCGATCGTCGCGCCAGCCTCCTCTTCGTCGTCGTCTGTACACATCCCTCGTCCGGAGCTGCTTGCCCCACCTCCTTGTTCTCGTCTTCTTCGCCCTTCTTCTCGCTCTCTTCTCGCTGCTGCTGCTCTTCGCTGTCGATCTGAACGCCCGACTGACTATTAACGGCGAGAAGCGCCTGCTTGCGCGATCGGTACAGGGTCCCGTCCGGGCTCGTGTACGTCCAGTACCGGCCCCGCTTGCGCCGGCGCCACCCTTCCGGCAGCTGGTCATTCGCGTTGTTGGGCGTGTAGTGTCCCTGCCTCCTCTCCCCTGCCTCGACCTCCTCGTTCGCCTTGGCTTCCATGCTGCTGTTACCGTCTTTGCTGGTTGCGCCGTCTTCATCTTTGTCACCGTTGTCGTCGTCGTGCTTCTCTTCTTTTTCCTCCTCCTCCTTCTCTTCCTTCGTTTCTCGTTGCTTCTTGTTGGGCGCGGTAGCGAGTTGACGCAGTTCCTCCGATCGACGCTTCGCGTATCTCCGCGGCGTCGGCGGCGTAGTGGCGGGAGACGAGTCGGAAGTGTCCTCGGAGCGCTTGCGGCTTATCCGTTCCTCATCGATGTGCTCGCGCGCGCTCTTCAAGGACACGAACACTCTGCCCGTGGGAGAGATGAACTTGTACCGCCGCCGGCCGCCGGGCTCGCACCTGATCTTTCGGACCCACCCCGGAGGCAGACTGTACTCCATAACGGGAGTAGAGCCGGTGGTCGGTGGCGCTTGGTCCCAGAGACTGGAACTCTTCGATGGCTCGGCCACCGCTGCCGCCTCTTCCGTCTTCGGGTCATCAGGCGCCAACGAGGGACTGCTGTATGAGCTGCAGTTAGCGATTGGTGGGCGATGAACTAACTGACCGTGGTGCGTTGCGACTTACCTGGAGTGTTGGCGGGTGTCGTGTTGTCGCTTCCACTTGGCATAGTCGGCGGCGAGAGCCTTCCACTCGCTGCCTCCCGATGTCGACACGTTGTGCGGGGTGGAGCGCTTCTTGGACAGCTTCACCTCCTTCTCCCACCTCTTCAGTTCGTCGTTGAGTGCGGCCAGGGTGACGGGCGTTTCGCGTTGGTCTTCGGGCTTGGATCGCTTGGCCTTTCGACCGCGCTTGCCGTCCTTCTTCCGGGTCTCCGCTTGCCACGTTGTAAACCGCTCCATGAGCTCTTCAAAGCTGTCGTCGGTAGCGACGAGCACCACCGCCGGTGAAGTCGAAGACGACGCCGAACTGGCCGCGGAGGACCTTGAGTGTTGGCCTTTTCTTGCGGCTTTTCTCGGTCGAGCACCATCGGCCCTGTCCAAATCGCCGTTCAGTTCTGCCTCCTTCAGTTTTTCTCCTGCTCGCTGGTTGCTCGCCTCCAACCTGCAAAGATGAGACGACAATGATCAGATGAGCACATGAGCAAAGTACGGGAAAAAGGACAAGCAACGTCGGTGCGAGGTCGTACTTGGCGGTGTCGCAGCCGAGGGACTTGAGCATCTGGGTGAGCGCGTGTCCCCCGCGCAGCACGTGAAGGAGGTGCTTGGCCGAATCACCTCGGAACTCGGCCTGCATGAGAGCGCCTATTTCGACGTCACTGTTCTCTTCGCTTTCGTTCCCTTTGCCCTTAGCAGCCGGAGGAGGCACCGCCGCCTCAACGACGATCTCACCGTCCTTAAGCGAGCACACCAGGTTGTCGCTGAGCCGGAGCCCCTTCTTGGCTGCCTCTGCGTAATGTGGAAGAACTGGGGTTACTACACAGCGAAGGCAAAAACCTTCGCTACCAGGAAGCGACCACGAACCTTTGAACGCCTTCTGCCGTGCGAGGTTGTTGCGATCGACTTGATAAATAAAGTACTCCACGCTCTTGTCCGTCCAGGATACTGCATCGGGCGAAGAGCGACACCTGAAGTAGAGGCCGTAGCGAAGTCGAAGGGTCAGGCTAGGCATAGACAAAGGCAGTTCGAGGGAAGCGAGGAGATTGGCGCACTTGAGCCAGGGAAACTTGAAGAGGTGGCAATAGCTCTTCACAAAGCGAGTGCTTGTAGGCCGGAATCGAGGTGCAAAGTCCCTGATTAGCAGAACATCGTTAGATTCCCAGCAATCATGGTCACAGCATGATGGTGAGGCACACGGCGCAAAGGAGGAACGCATACTTGAGCGTGATGATTCGAACTCCGTTCTTGAGGCCCGCCTTGAATTTCTTGAGCACGCTTTGCTCCAGGTGCTGTGGAAAGCAGTAGTTGTTCAAGAAGACGACCGTCGCCTTGCTACAGGAGGAGGCCATCGTTACAACAACTCCGAGCAAGAGAGAGCAACAAAATGATCGGGGTCCACGCACCTGAGGTCCACCTCGGGGCTTAGAATGTCCCCACACACGAGTTGCACTTCTCCTCGCAAGAGGTGGGTTCTTCGCAACTGGAGAGCGGGTCACATGTGGGATCTAAGGATTCTCGCGAGCTTGTCAAAGCTCAATAAGATGGGCACGTACCAGAGTCTGATAGTTTTTGAGCAGGGCTTGGCCAATCGAAGTGAGCTCGCTGCGAATCTCGACGCCAACGGCCACACAGCCGGTCTGTGCCGCTACCTGCAGCACGACCTGTGGAGCCGAACACCCACTTTGTTAAATCTTGCGATAGAGGGGCGCACATGGGAAGGGGGTTGTACATTCCCCACGCCACTGCCGAGATCGTAGAGCACATCTTGGCTCGACAGTTTAAGAGCCTTGATGAAGTCGCTGACCAGCACCGGATTGACTTCACCATACACCTCCTTACTGGCCGGAGCATAGCGTCGCAATATCTTGGGATCGTACTCGGGGGTCAACTCCAACACCTGCTCCCACATCGCCTCGTATGCAGGGAGCGAGATGAATTTTTGCCCCGCAATTCCTGCCATTATCGTGTAGAGCGGGATGGACAAAGCTCGGAGTCCACAACAAGATGGGAACGTCGACCGTCTTAGTTCTCTCCGTTCAGCTTTCAATGCTCATGGCCGAAGGTCTCCGATGATGTGCAAAAAGGCGGCAACTGGATTATTGGATTTTCCGAACTGTTATCCTTCTTATTTTCCACCATCATTTCCTGGTGCACGCACATCTACCGCGCCGACCACTAGCATGGATGCAAGCGAGGCCCCCGATGACACTGGCCTGTTGCCGACCGAGGGTATGCTGCCTTTTCCACATGCTCGGCGCACCTCAAGTTAATCACAATTTCGCTCTGAATCATCATAGATTTGGACCTTTCACCTCCGGTAAAGGTGGAATTAGAGTCTGGGTTGATTCCCTATGCAAAGTTGGCGTATGGTCACTTTTTCGAGAGCCGGAAGGACGACCTGACGAGGTGGTGGCTCCAGCTCATCGAGAAGAGTACGGATTCGTTCCTTCGCTCGCTGGGCTATGACTTCGACGCCGTGCCCTTTCACTACATAGACCAGCCGCCTCGCTCGATGCCCGTCATCCTCAAGAACCTGCAGATGATACGCTTCCTGCTCAAGGCGTCGGGCAAAAACCTCGACAGGTTCGGCGTCTCTCTTCGTCCTTGCATGACGCGCACGTGTGGCTGGTCTGTTGGTCTGTCTACCTTGTGCTTACTTGTGCTGATGTTGCGCGTGCCCAACCTTCAGCGGCTCACTGCCGATGAGGCGACACCTACTGGATGGGCTGGTGAACCCGCTCAAGAGGGTAATCTACTCCCGAATTGACGAGTACGCGCACAGCGTGATGCTCTTCCTCTGGAACGAGTGCAATTCGCTGCTGGGCCTTCACCTCGCCGACACCGATGGACACTTGAGCTTCGCGCCCTCTGCCATGCCACCTTGCACGGCCACGAGCGATCGGAAAGGAAAGGGAAGAGCGAGCGGTGCTGATGACGATGGAGTGCTGGTGCCCTGCGCCGATCTAGAATCCATCAAGGAGCGATTGCAGAGGACAGACACCATCCCCGAGGGACGAAGGAAAGTGCTGCTCAGTCTCCTCGGCGACATCCACTACATCGACGAGATGAAGAGACTCGAACAGGACTTCTTCGGCGATCCTTCGGCACCGCCGCAGGAACGGCAGAAGAAGTCACCACCATCCGACATCGTCCCCGTAACCGGCCTCATCGTGGGCAAGCTTCACCGATTAGAGAACGAACTCAAGACCGTCGTTGAGCACTGGTCGCGGCGCGGTCTCTAGTACTTAGCCCACACCGGAGCCCACTCGCGTGTTGTTTTTATTTTTATTTTTCACATGTTTTTTCTCTTTTCAAGAAAAGAGAAGACCAAATTGTACTCCAATCTCGACCAGATGCAAGTGTAAGATCCCTCTTCTTTGTGTGTCACAAAACTAGCCCTCGCGAATCACAAACTGATACGAGATTTCGATTTCGAACAGATTGGACTCAACCGCCGGATTGATTTCAAACTTTGAAGTGTACCATCTGCTTCGGGAAAAGCATGCTCTCGACAATGCCAGCAAAAAGCTGCGCCACGTACCCTTGATCGAGGCACAGGTAACCCCCCAAGCCATATCGATTTTTTTTTATATATATTTATATTTACACAGGTGCTGGGCTACATTTCGACAACGCAAGCGGCGATGGAGGAACAACAAGGAGTGGTCCAATTCCTTGAGCATGTGAAGAAGTACGCGCTCACCAAAGCCGAGGTGTTGCAGATACTCAACCACTGCCCCACCACAGAAGTGGAGCTGCATTTGGTACGGCCCTCCGCTTGCCCGTTGTGCTTTGCACTCAGTTAGGTGGGCGTGGATATCAGCGCGGATCGCGTCGTATTTACTTGTTGCTTGCACCTCTCTCTCTCTCTCTACTCGCATGTGTTGTGTTGTCTGTGCCATGTGTCGGTGATCAGATTGTGGAACAGTTCGAAGTGCGGCTGGCTCCCGAGCAGCGAGCAGAGCTTCTCGAAGAGATCAGCGCGTTTCTCAGCCCACAGATGGCGGAAAACGGTGTGGCACAGGAGTCAGCGCCGCAAGGAGAAGAAGAGGAACAAGCAGAGGAACCAGAAGAAGAAGCCGCCATGGAGGTGGAAGGTGCAATCGAGGCGGTAGAGCTGGGTGGAGAGGAAGAAGAAGACAATGAGCTCCTTCACGAAGAAGAAACCAAGGCAGGAGAGGAAGAGGAAGGCATGGCCGCTGATGGTGAAGAAGATGACGCTGGCCAAGGCCAAGATAACAACTAAAGCTGTGTATGCCTTGGTGCGATTTTAATTTGTGATTATTTTTCGGGGCCAAACGTATTTTGCGGACGTTCTTTTCGTTCTCTTCTTCTGCGCGACCAGAAAGCCGTACCGGGCATCTCTGCATCAGAAGCCTAAAAACAAAATGGTACGCAAGCCTTCACCCTGAGTGATTTTCATAAATTCTTAGTCCAATTAGCACCCAATTTATCAGTTCCTCATTTCAATCAGCATTTCCTGTACATTTGCTACGAATTATCCTAATCCATTCGCTATTTAGTCGAAAATGTCGGTGCTTAGCTCTCTTCTGGTGGTCGTTGTCCTCGCCCTTTGCTTCTCCTTCGCTTCCGGTACGTCATTTTATTTTAATTCCCAGACCCAGCTTTGCAGGGAATTAGATGCGCATTTAATTAACGTCAAGCCCCTCGCCTCGCCTTTTCGTAGTGCGAGGTCAGGACTTCGACATGATGGATGCTGCCAATTGCACGGACTACACGAACTGCCGCGACTGTGCCAGCCAGCCGAACTGCGGTTGGTGCCCGGCCTTCGGTCTGTGCCTGGAGGGCACTTCGGCCAACGTGTCTACCGACGGCACCTGTAACGTTACCACCGGTGGCTGGCACTTCAATGCCACCGACTGCCGCAACTGCTCGTCGTTCAAGAACTGCAAGTCGTGCGTGGAGGCCTACAGCAGCAAGAACGGCGCCGTGTGCGGTTGGTGCGAGCCTTTCGGCACCGGCAAGAACAAGACCAACGGCACCTGCTGGGAGGGTACCGCTGCCGGTCCCTTCTACAAGTCGCTCACCGCCAACGAGACCTGCGCCCAGAAGCACTGGGGCCTCGACTCCAAGATCTGCGGTATGGATCATCTCTTTCCCCGTGTACATCGCTGCGGTCGGTGCAGCTCACCTCTTAGTCTCGTTCAACGTTGTTGTCATGATGCACAGGCGAGGATGACGATGCCAAGAGGAAGCTGGCCATCATCATCGGTCTGTCCGTGGCCGGTGGTCTGTTCGTGCTCGCCGTCGTGGCCACCATCATTTTTGTCATCGTCAAGAGGATGCAGAGGTCTCGCGGCTACCAGGCCATCAACGAATCCGCCTAAGGCGCCCCCTTCCAGCCCTTCCTGTTCATCTTCTCCCGTCTTCCTTCTCCTCCTCCACTGACCTCCATCCACTGCTCCACATAAAAACTTAATTCCAATTCCTTCAAAGGCGCACCAACAAAGAGATGGATGGGACTGGCTTAGGAACATGCAAGTTTGGTGAAGTGGCGACCAGATGGTTACTATGTCTCTCCAACAGCACGGCCGGTATGAAGGCATGTTGCTCTCTGCACAATAATCATTTTCTTTTAATTTCCCCGTTCCCTTTTCCCTTTTCCGCACCGCCCCTTGGAGAAGTTCTGTGACAGGACAGGGAGACTGCAGGATTCGACCCGACCATCTTGTTGGGTTCCACCAGTACTGAGGGGGGGGAGGCAGAGAGCACACTGGGTGAGTGAAGATGACGATGAGACCCATAGCCGAGTTTCGGCTGCGGAAGGAGCAGTCCCCCATCCCTACCGCGACCCCAGCCCCAACGTTGCCCCAAGGTCCTCCCCCATTTATTTCTTCTTCCCTCCTCTCCCCCCTCTTTCTGAGCCCTTCGCTGATGCATCATATTTGGCGCAGCTATCGCACAACTGGAGGTTCTCGAGAACGAAGGATCCAACTTGTGTCAGAAGTTGGACGCACTGAAGGCACTCTGCACGCTGAGCACCAGCATGACCCAGCTCGCGGAATCCTTTTCTCGTCGCGTGGTGCTTTGGTACGTCGAGTCCCTCCCGCCTACGCGTGTAGCTACTCGTGTGTCTTATTTGTGCCTCTTGGTGTGTTTCTGTGTAGCATTCGAAGCCTGGTGTCATTCCCACGACTCGTCGTGCGGGTGCAAGCACTTCGTGCCCTGCGCTACATGACCGTCGATCCTCTCTTCGTGCGCCACGTCACCGCCAGCCGCACAGCTCTCCTTCTCGCGCGGTACACCCCACCAACCAATGTCTACTCGGCGCTCTCCTTCCCGTGCTTACCTTCCTGCCCAGATCGCTGGAACGAGAGAAGGAGGACTCGCCGGAGCGCATTCAAGCCTTCCGGGCCGTGTATCGTATGATCGACGTGGGTCCCATGTACATATCGCGCGCCATCGTCTCCGCGTTGGTTGCCGTCGCAGAGTCTACCGATGACCCAATCCGGGCTATTGCGCTGGAAGCCCTTTGCTGCCTCGGTACACCGCGCCTCCACCGGGCCTTGGATGTGACTCAGACGCTGATCGTTTCGGGCTGTTGCAGCTATTACGAATCCTCGGGTGGTGGCGTTGAACAACGGCATACGCACCATTTTCAAGGCCTCCGCGGATCTGGATCACGTCCAAATGCAGGACAGCCTGCTCAACACCGTTCTCTACCTCCTCAACGAGCCTGCCTGTCGCCCCTACGTTCGGCTCAGCTGCGACTTGCAAGTACGCTTTATATATCTATCAGACATTATTCAACGCAATCCGGTTTTTATCTTATTCGTGCTTTGTAGTGCCTGCTGGCGCCGATTACGGACACGGACCCTGAGGTCCTCCCGCCCAAGACCGGGGACGCCGCCAAGGACGCCGAGAAGGAAAAGGCGGCGAAGGAGCAGTGCCGGGCGGGCAGGGTGGTGTGCCTGGACGCCGTGGGCGCACTCCTCAAGAACTGGGCCGGCCTGATTAGCTTCGCGGCCGATCCGCTCGCTCTTCGCTCCCTTGTCGAAACTCTTCGCGTGAGCCCTCACGCCGAAGTCAAGGCACTTCCCAGCTCCACTTTCTCTTTTCTGAACTGTGGTTGCAGTGCAACTGCTTACTCGTGTGTGCGTGTGCGTGCGTGTGCGTGTGCGTGTTACTGAGCAGGAGCTGATATTGGCGATGATCTTCTCGGTGTTTGGCATGCTGGTCCCGCAAGACAAGGACTCGTGGATGTTCTCGTCGAGACAAGGCGCGCAGTCCACCAAGAGCTTCAAGGACCACACCGTCAACACCCTGCACAATCCCTCCAGGTACTACTAACGCCCAGAGCTCTGAAAGCGATCCCCCATCGGCTCGTAGCGCCCCCGCCGCCTGGACTAACTCAGCCGGCGGTGTTGCGGTGCTACAGGGTCTACAGCGAGAGGCCGAACCTGGTCAACATGTACCGGTCGGCCCTGCTGATCGCCTTTGTCAACTGCGGGCTGGTGGAGGCGCTGGTGGACATGGGCAAGGAGCAGGTCGAGGAGCAGCAGGACGTGTGCGTCGTCAGCCAGCCGGGCGGAGTCTCGGGCAACCTGGGACTCGGGTTCAAGGCCACCATTCTCCTCGGCGACCTCCTGCAGATGTCGCCCTCCCTCCTGCCTCGCGTGCAGGTCGCCCGCTTGCAGGTACGCTCTTGCCCAGAGTACTAGTTCTGCGCCTCTGTTTCGCCACTCTTCGACCTAATCTGTCTCCTTCTTGTCTGTCGGGGCGTCTCTGTCGGCAGACGCTAGCCACACTCGTTTCGCACGCGGTCTCATTCGTGGAGCACCCCAAGGTGAGGTCCTCGACGTCGACCATCATCTCGCACCTCCATCAATGCGCCCAGTCGAGGTATAGGCCCCTACATCAGATGTTTTCACCCATTGGCCGATCTCAGGGTATATAAATGTAATCGCGCACCGCAGGCAAGGATCGGCCAAGGACTACAGTGGAGCGTCGGTGGTGACCAGTGGCGCCAGCCGGTACCGACGCCTGAAAGGGCGGGACCGCAAGCTGGACAGAATCGACGACGTGCGAGCCAAGGTGGACTACTCGATGGAGCCGAGCCAGTTCATGCAGAAGCTGCAGCAAACGCAGGTTCTGGCGACGAAGGAGTACACCAAGTGGGACTGGGACCTGATCGAGGAGACGCTCGAGGGTCCGCTGCGCAATCCCGTGCACTTCACGACCGCCACCCAGCGCACCACGTTCATCAAGCGCATCCTCTCCTTCCTCAAGCCCAACGACAAGAGCATCATGAAGGAGTCACACACCGTGGTACGCTCTTCCTCCACCGCCAACCAACCAGCAGTGGAAGTCGTCGTTGTGCTAACAATGCCCGGGGGCACGCAGACGTTCTGCAAGTACGTGCGCATTGCGTGCCTATGCGTGGAGCTGCTCCTGCAGAGTGAGGCCGGCGAGGAGTTCCTCAAGCAGCACGGGCTGGTGCGAAAGGTGGCCGAACTCTTCAGAGACGAGCTCGACGGGGTACCACCACCTCCTTTCCTCTCTTTGTCGTGACCTCGACGGGCCTCGACCTAACGCGCTCTTGACCCCCCACCCTCTCAATGTGTGCAGAAATCGTCGGCTCGCATTCTCGCAGAGGACCGAGTGGTCGAGTTGATGGCCCGCGAGTACTTTACCTTGGTGGGCACCTTGTCCTCGTCCAGCAGGTCTCTTCCTTCTTGCACAGCCTCTCGCTTAGCAACGGCCAATTTGTGGAGGCCCTGCGACTAACCCTGCGGATGGGGGCTTGAACAGGGGCCTGGAGCTGATGAATCAGTACAAGATCTTCGCGTCCCTGGGCGAGATGCAGTCTTCCTCCAACCTGTCCTACCTGAGCCTCACCTCGCTGGACTATTCCATGTACGATGCCTCTCTCCATGGCACACCCCACCCGCCTGGTACACGGCGGCGCACGATGGCCAATGGATCCTCACTCGGTGCGCAGTGGCGGCCAGGCGCGGGTGCTGATCTCCAAGTCGCTGACGTCGACCTCCTGGGTACGCGTTCAGTTCTTCTTCCTGCTTGCAAGTGCTCACCAGTTGTGCTGAACATCTCACTCATTGGTGTGGCCGCTTGTGCTGCATTGATCGCCTACTTCAGCCCGTGCGCTACTTCGCCACCAAGCACCTGCGGCTTCTCTACCGCTCCGGCGTCGCCTCGTTCTCGGCGTGGGGCATTCAGCTCCTCAACAAGCAGGTACCGCACCACGCTCAAGGCCCCGGTTCTATCATCCTATACCAACAATTCGCTCGCGTCAAGCTGGGCGATGAACACGCCAAGGTGTTCCAAATGGCGCTCACCTCCCTGGACGAAGCCTGCGAAACCCCCGAGTGCCTCGACACCTTCGTCAAGTGCCGGCCCTCCCTGTCTCTACTGCTCGGGTTTGTCCCTTCAGCCCCCTCACCACAAAACAACACACTGCCTTGTCTCCCCCAATATCAAATCATACTAACGCTGGCCCTGCACAGAAGCAAGAACCGCGTTGCGTCCGACCTTATACTCAAGTACGCCCCCAAGCACTGTGGTTGCTTTCTTGCTTGGTTGATGATGGTGACTGAATAGTAAAATGGCCAACCATGGTTGCAGGATGCTTTCGACGGAGGCGGGGTTCGAGTACCTGCTGGAGGCGGGCTATCTGGAGAGCGAGCTGGCGAAGTGGAAGGCGGAGGGGTACGTCGAGTACATGCTCAAGCTGGAGGAGTCGCTCGAGGTGATGGCGAGCAAGGGCAAGATCTGGCGCCCGGAGGACAAGCCGGCGCTCGACGTCCCGCCCCACTTCTACGGCGACCTCGCCAAGACCGTGCTGGGCAGCGAACTCCTGGCCGTGTCCGGCCACATGCGCCACTTTGCCGCCGTCCTCCGCAACAAAACTGGCTCCACGCCCGCGCTCAACCAGCGCGCAGCCCTCTGGGTCCTCGTACGCTTTCGCCATGCCTATTTATTTTTATTGACATTTCATTTATCCATAAAATATCAATATAATTTCAAAATTGTTTGTTTTTTTATCAAATTTGATTTCTCTCACGCACATAAAGGGCCATGTCGGCGCGTCGGAGAGGGGCCTCCGCTTCCTCGAGAAAGAAGGTCTGTTGGCGGAGATCGTGAGCCTTGCGGAGAACGCTGACAGTCTCTCATTGCGCGGGTACATCATTGCGCTCCTCGCAGCCCCCACCGCGCAACTTTTTTACGGTGGCGTATGCGTCGTGTTGTGCCTGCGTAGGACTTGCTACTACGTGCTGGGGTTGATCAGCCAAAGCCCGCGGGGGCGTGTGCTGCTGGATGGGCTCGGGTGGGAGTCGCCCTGCAACAATGCCAACATATGCGTACCCAAAGACTCCGCCAGCTCGGGCCTTTTCAAGGTACTCGCCCTGCAATTAACAACCCAACCCAACCCAAACCAACCAACCTCCCGGCCACTGTTCGTTCTGTACAGATCAAGCCCAGCAAGTACGAGGGATCGCGGGCACAGCTGCCGGCAGCGAGCATCCAGGGCAGCGGCCAGCGGTACCCGGCCGGCGACCCCCGGGCCGAGTGTCTCCAGCAGATCGGCGCCCTCTCGAACCCCATCATCGTCGACCGCGCCAGTCGCCAGGTGACCAGGTACACCATTCCCCCCCCCAAAATTCTGAGCCGTCGCCATGGTAAGTCTCTGACTGACATCCGGTCAACGTTGCCGATATGCCCAAGCTTGAGGAGCAAGCACCCGGAGGTCTTCTTCGATCCGGGGTTCGTGCTGGAGGTGTTGCAGATGCTGGCCAACTTCCGGTTCAGACTGTCGGCCCGACGGTTGGTGCATTCCCTGATCGAGAACGCGGCCTTCACGCCGCAGGTCTGTCGCGACCTGCCCTGGGACGACTCCCTCAGTGTGTGAAAGGTGATACGATACCACCATAAAACATAAATATACAATACTATACTATATGATATAACTGTGGGCCGAGGGTGGGCCAACATGTTTGTGTTCTGATATGCAACGCTAAACGTTGCTCACACGAGCTTGAGCATCTTGCGGGAGGCGGCCTTGCCGACGGTCTTGTGTGCGTAGCTGCAGCAGAGGCTGACCAGCGTCGCCAGCCACAGGACGGCCGACAGCACGTACACGCTGATTATGGTCGTCTCGGAGGGCAGCTCGCACCGCTTGTAGTAGACCTCGACCTCCAGCACCACCTCATCGCCGTTCTCCTCCTCCTCCCGCTCTTGTCCTGGTGGTCGCTTCTCCTCGCCCCTCGCCTCACCACCCCCATGCTGCTCCTTTGTCGTTTCGTCCGCGCCGATCTGTTCTCGTGGTCGCTGACGGTCATCGTGATCGGCCTCTTCTTCAGTGAATCCCAGGGTGAACTCTACCGTGACTGGAGTCAGACTGTCCTGCTCGTGCCCCTCTTCTTCTTCTTCTTCCACCTCTGTCGCTCTCGCCCACGCCTCCCGCTCGTCGCCGTCTCCATCGTCGTCGTGCTCTCCAAATCGCTTTCGCTTTCCTTTCCCTTTTAAAAGAAAAGTTGTGGGTCAGCATTGGTGGGCGCAACAACCCCAACACGCCGCAAAGGGCGAGAGAGAGGGAGAGAGAGAGA